CCCATACTTTTGTTGGGCTTTACTGGTGCTTTTCTGTTCTCCCGTGATGAGGACCATAACTATTGCTTGGTGTGTAATCAGTTAAGGTCTTTATGAAAGCAGGGTACGGGTGTGATTGGGTGGCAACGAATATGGACACCCCGCGTGGATGGAGGAAGGGGGTGTCCGGGAAGTATGAACAGGAGCCTGCCAGGCACTGGTTAGTCCTTGGGCTTAGGCGGGTCTTTGGCACCTGGAGGGTCTGATTTTCCATTGAAGAAGGTTGGAATGGGGGAACCCATTTTAAATTTTGTAAGGTGTTTGTTAGTACGAAGAATGTGCTAAATTGGCCCATGGAAACTAGGAGAGGAAGTTAATTCTTTTTGGTCGAGAGACGTGGGGCACAAACAGGCAAGGCAAAGATTGTAGAACACTTAAACTAGCTCGTTCAGAAAGATGATGGGAATGAGAGTTTTCTTTTGCCTTTTGGGAATTTTCTGGAAATGCGCAAGTACTTCACTTGGCCCAGGGAATGGAATTGGGGTAGCGAGTTGTTGAGAGTGGCAGAGTGCCATTGCGTCAGAATACGTTTAGGCTCAGATTGGTGAGATAGTCTTTGTTGTGTTCGCAAGCTGATGACGCAGGAGGTCTTTGAAGGTTTTTAAAGTAAGGATTGGATTGGAAGTCATGGGCATACTTGTTTTTGGGGAAGATAAATGGGAAGCGTGTGGCAGAACCTGTTCAGAGTAGGGAGAACACGTTGGAACGCAGTTTGTTACAATCAAGGTCCTGCCCGGGAGTTACTATACAAGTGGCCTCCTGGGCCTGCAAGTTTCTGCCCACACTCCAGCTATTCCTGGGTCCTCTTTTTCCTCCTCCCTGGCCGCCCCGGTTGGCGCCAAGAACATTACAACTCTCCCTGTACCATTCTCTTCTGTTGCCCCAACCACCATTCCTCTCCATTCTGCCCTTCTGGCAAATCTTCTATATTATTTTAGATCAAGTCAAACATGATCTCTTCATGGAAGTCTCCCTCCTTCTAAGCAGAGTTATCGTTTTCTGTCTGCTTCTTTTCTCAAGGTTCTTCTTTTTTTTTATTTTTTTTTTGAGACAGAGTCTCCGCTTTGTGTTCCAGGCTAGAGTGGATGCCGTGCCGTGTCCAGCCTAGCCACAGGCAAGCCTCAAACTCCTGCTTGAGCGCGATCCTTTCTGCCTCAGGCCTCCCGGATAGCTGGACTTAGTGCATGCGCCACGATTGCCCGGCTAATTTTCGTTATTAGCATATTCAGGTTGGCCAATTAATGTTCTTTCGTACTTTTATATAGAGACGGGTCTCGTCTTGCTCAGGCTGGTTTTGAACCCTGACCTTTGAGAAAATAAATAAATAAATAAAAACATAAAAAGAAATCCTAAACATAATACTTTTTAATCAATTACAAAATAGACCCCTTTCTCACAGAAATACTAGCTTCACAGATTTTACAATAATGCAGGGAAAATTAACCAAAAGAAAAATTTTGGAAAATTTAGATTTAAATTTTGACACAGATTCCTGATATTCCTGGGAGTTAAATAAGTATTTTAAATATTAAAGTTGTTGAAAATATTATACAGACAGACTTAAATTATTCCATTGATTTCCTGTTTTAAAGTAAAAATGTTTGTGCTGAGAGTGGAACAATCATTCAATGGTTTATGCGTGTGTGTGTACACACACATATATACTTTTCTTCCACACTGTCAAAAGACTCACCCATAAAAATCACCAGTACAAAGTTCACCCAGAATGCAGACTCATCAAAAATATATTAATATCATCAGAAAACCATCAACTAGTATCTAGTTTTTCCAAATTTCTGCTTTGCTAATTCTAGTGATTACCTTCTTATTGGCCCAAATCTTGAGAATATTATTTCCAGATCCTCATCTGTGGTCACTGGATTCAATTTACAAACAAACAGCACATTTTCTGGAGGTTTAATATCTGCATCAGGTAGGTCTCCCACCTCAATTATAAACAAGAACACAAATCAATTTCTTTATTTACTTCCCATTCTAAATATCCTATCCAAGCCCCCAATGCTGATTTCCCTAAAACATTTAAATTTACATTATAAACTGCAGGTTCAGGAAAAGAAATTTGAAACTACGCTGTTCCTCGTATTAACAATATCAATAGCTAATAAATTCCTGAATTATACTTTGTGTGAACACTGTGCTTGGGACTTCAAATATATTACTGGTGATTTTTTTTTTTTTTTGAAACAGAGTCTCACTTGTTGCCCAGGCTATAGTGAGTGCCGTGGCATCATCCTAGCTCACAGCAACCTCAAACTCAAGTCTCTTCCTTAGGGCTGGTCTCTAACTCCGGAGCTCAAGTGATCCTCCTACCTAGGCCTCCCAGAGTGCTAGATTACAGGCGACAGGCGTGAGCCACCACACCAGGCCCAGAATGGCTATTACTAAAAAGACAAAAAAATAACAGATGTTGATAGGAAGCAGAGAAAAGGAAACACATACACTTTTGGTGGGGATATAAAATAGTATATGGCCACTATGGAAAACAGTATACAGATTTATCAAAAAACTAAAAATAGAATTACCATTCAATCCAGCAATCCCACTACTAGGGTATCTACCCAAAGGAAAGGAAACCAATATATCAAAAGGATATCTGCACTCACATGTTTATTGTGGCACTATTTGCAATAGCAAAGATACAGAATCAACCTAAGTGACCATCAATGGATGAATGGATAAAAAAATATGGTGTGTATATACACAATGGAATACCATTTGGCCATAAAAAGGAATGTAATCATGTCATTTGCAGCAACATGGATGGAACTTGAGGTAAGTGAAATAAGGCAGGCACCAAAAGACATATCACATGTTCTCTCTTATATGTGAGAGCTAAAAAGTTGGATCACATGGAGGTAAAGTGGTGAAAAGATATATAACAGAGACTAAGAAGGGTGAATGAGGGAGTGGAGGAGGATAAATAGAGTGGTTAAAGGGTACAAACATACAGTTAGAATAAATTCAATGTTTGATAGCAGAGTAGGGTAACAACTTTTGTATAGTTAAACAAAAATGTATTGTACTCAGGTACGTGGATCGCTAAATACCTTGACTTGATCACTATGTATTACGTACAGGTAACAAAATTTCACATGTACCCATAAGTTGTTAAATAAAAAACACAAATATCAACATCACCAACCATCAGACTAATTTCTCTTACTTTGACATCATCTACCTACTTTGAACAACCATTTTGAAATATTTGTAGCCATGCTAAAATTGCCCAAAGTGTAATCCTGATACTGCATTAAATGAGCTGTCTTCTACTATTATATACAACAAAACACATATTTATGCTCATATGGTACAGAAGTATTCCTGTGTTTGACAAGGCCAGTATGATTTCCTTTACTGAGTGTTCACCTCCTTTCCCTGCTTTTTCCTCTTGTACCTAGGAATCCAGTTTGGTGAACTGAGATCATCCTAGTCACTGTTGTCATCACATTTATTGTGAGATATCTGTATGGAACAGTAGCAGTCTGGGGACTTGAGAGAATGTTTTGTCTGGCTGGAAAACAGGACATTCTGCCCTTTCTGGAAACCATCTTTACCTCTTCTTCATCTTCCTGTCCTTGTCAAGTACTTTAACTGCCTTCTTTGTTCTAATTTTTGCATTGACCTCTTCAGCAAAAAAAAAAAAAAAGACTTGAGAAAGAGCAGAAGAAACGGATAACTCTGCTTAGGAAGGAGGGAGAGCTTCATGAAAGAGATCATGTTTGATCTTAGATCTAAATAATAAGAAGTTTGCCAGAAGGGCAAGAATGGAGAGGAATGTGGGTTAGAGGCAAAAGAAGAATGGTAAGGGAGAGTTTGTAATGTTTTGGGGCGAGGGGGCGGCAGGGAGGAGGAAGGAATAGCTGAGTGTGGGAGAAAACTTTGCAAGGCAGGAGACACTTGTATAGTACTCCAGGTTGTTTCAACCTCTTTGATAGGCTCTGCATTCCATGGGGGCAGGACCTTGATTGTAACAAACTGGTCTCCAGTTTCTCCCTACTCTGATACAGTCTCCACACTGCTTCCCATTATCTTCCCAAAACAAGTATGCCATACTTCAATCAATCTTACTTTTAAAACCTTCAAAGACTCTGGTCATCAGTGGAACACACAAGACTATTCACAATCTGACCTAAACGTATCTGACCAATGGCACTCTGCCACTCCACAACTCGTACCATTCCTTCTGGCCAAGTTGAACTACTTGCCATTTCCAGAAAATTCCAAGCAAAGAAAACTCTCATTCCCACTCATCTTTGAACGAGCTAGTTTAAGTGTTCTACAATCTTTGCTTGCTTCGTTTGTCCCCACGCCTCGACCAAGGAAGAATTACTTCCTCCTCTAGTTTCCATGGCAATTTACACATTCTTCTACTACAACACTTACAAAATTAAAATGGGTTCCCCCCATCAACTTTCTTCAATGGAAAATCAGACCCTCAGGTGCAAGACGCCTCGCCCAGGACTAACCCCAGTGCCTGGCAGGCTCTGTTCATACTCCCGGACACCCCCCTTCCTCCATCCACGCGGGGTGTCCATATTCGTTGCACCAATCACACCCTACCTGCTTTCATAAAGACTTAACTGATTACACACCAAGCAATAGTTATGTTCCTCTCACGAGAACAGAAAGCACAGTAAAGCCACAAAAGTATGGGTATTGTATATGCAGCCCCCGTATCACACACGCGCCCACACACACACCCTCCCCAAATGACTGCAAGCACCTGACTGGCCAACACAAGATACGGAAGAAGGGCTGCAGAGGTTCAAACGAATTCTCACAAAAACTTTTCTATGCAAACCCCGCTAATAAACAGCCCGGTCGCGGGCACCAGCAGCCCAACAGCTCGAGCCAATGGCTACCACGGACTGTGCAGAGAAAGGAAAGTAGGGGAACGAGCTCGGGGACCCTGCGAGAGGCGAGCAGGGCGCAGGCCTCACCGCGCGGCCGCTCCTCGGTGTACAAGTCGATGACGACGTCGCCCAAAGTGGTCTCCAGCAGAACCGCCATGGCGCCCGCTCCTCCTCCGCAACAAGCCCGGGGGCGTGACAGGCGCAGCCAGCGACGTCTACGCCTTGCGTCACTCTCGGCGCGACGCCTGATTGCGTCATCCCTCTGACGCCGCTGTCCTTTTCCGGCAGTCCCTTCCGGTCAGCTTACGGCCTGCCCCACTGACAGGTAAACCCGGTTGGTCTCGCTCCCAGCGCGGCCCTTTTGAAAACCTCGGCCGGCCCTTGGCGACTTCTGCGGAAGCCTGTCGCGCAGAAGGGACCCAGTATAGAGTTTTGTGTCCATCTAAAGAACAGGGCGGCCCTCCAAGCGGCCCTTTCTTTTTATCCGGGAGAGGGCACCCGCGGCGCTGTCTTCTCCCACCTCCTTTTTGGAATGACTCCTGGGGTTTGCTCATCGGTTTTTTTTTTTTCTCTCTCTCTTCCCTTCCTCTTCCCTTCCTTTACCTTCCTTCCCCTCTTCCCTCCCTCCCTTCCTTCCTCTCTTTATTTGTTTCCTTTCCTTATTTTTAGACTTAGTCTTGTTAGGCCGCAGAAATGTACAGCCCGTGTGGGGGAGAGACGACCGCCTAAAAAAAGACTCAGAGTCCAGAGACTTGATGCAAAAGCATGAGGATTTATTTCCAGTGCAGCGCAGGGGCAAGCGAGCTAGGGAAGCTGCCACGCCGACCTTTTTTTCCTTAGGATTTTATAGGCAGAAACCACACGCAGGTGGGTAGGGACCACAGGGTGGGGGGAAATTCCATGGGCTTTCACCTTGCACAAACATGTACCAGATGGGCTAATATCGGGAACTTCTAATCTTGGTCAATAAACTCCAAGGACTAACGGCAAGCGGTTTTCGGGGAGTTACAGAGTGACACCGGCGCCAGCGGGGGAGGGAATAGGGTTGAGCGAGCGAATTTTACAGAAGCAGAACGGCGGGTTAGATTTTTCTCCACAGTCTCTGTCGCCCAGCTAGAGTACAATGGCGCCAGTGGCGTCATTGCAGTTCACTGAAATCTCAACCTCCTGGCCTCAAATGATCCTCCTGTCTCAGCCTCCGAAGTAGCTGGGACTGCAAGCACACACCACTACATCCAGCTAATTTTCAATATTTTTGGTAGAGAGGGGTCTTGCTCTTCCTTAGGCTGGTCTCTAACTCCGGAGCTCAAGTGATCCTCCTACCTAGGCCTCCCAGAGTGCTAGGATTACAGGCGACAGGCGTGAGCCACCACACCAGGCCCAGAATGGCTATTACTAAAAAGACAAAAAAATAACAGATGTTGGATAGGAAGCAGAGAAAAGGAAACACATACACTTTTGGTGGGGATATAAAATAGTATATGGCCACTATGGAAAACAGTATACAGATTTATCAAAAAACTAAAAATAGAATTACCATTCAATCCAGCAATCCCACTACTAGGGTATCTACCCAAAGGAAAGGAAACCAATATATCAAAAGGATATCTGCACTCACATGTTTATTGTGGCACTATTTGCAATAGCAAAGATACAGAATCAACCTAAGTGACCATCAATGGATGAATGGATAAAAAAAATATGGTGTGTATATACACAATGGAATACCATTTGGCCATAAAAAGGAATGTAATCATGTCATTTGCAGCAACATGGATGGAACTTGAGGTAAGTGAAATAAGGCAGGCACCAAAAGACATATCACATGTTCTCTCTTATATGTGAGAGCTAAAAAGTTGGATCACATGGAGGTAAAGTGGTGAAAAGATATATAACAGAGACTAAGAAGGGTGAATGAGGGAGTGGGAGGAGGATAAATAGAAGTGGGTTAAAGGGTACAAACATACAGTTAGAATAAATTCAATGTTTGATAGCAGAGTAGGGTAACAACTTTTGTATAGTTAAACAAAAATGTATTGTACTCAGGTACGTGGATACGCTAAATACCTTGACTTGATCACTATGTATTACGTACAGGTAACAAAATTTCACATGTACCCCATAAGTTTGTTCAAATAAAAAACCACAAATATCAACATCACCAACCATCATGACTAATTTCTCTTACTTTGACATCATCTACCTACTTTGAACAACCATTTTGAAATATTTGTAGCCATGCTAAAATTGCCAAAAGTGTAATCCTGATACTGCATTAAATGAGCTGTCTTCTACCTAATTGTATATACAACAAAACACATATTTATGCTCATATGGTACAGAAGTATTCCTGTGTTTGACAAGGCCAGTATGATTTCCTTTACTGAGTGTTCACCTCCTTTCCCTGCTTTTTCCTCTTGTACCCTAAGGAATCCCAGTTTGGTGAACTGAGATTCATCCTAGTCACTGTTGTCATCACATTTATTGTGAGATATCTGTATGGAACAGTAGCAGGTCTGGGGACTTGAGAGAATGTTTTGTCTGGCTGGAAAACAGGACATTCTGCCCTTTCTGGAAACCATCTTTACCTCCTTCTTCATCTTCCTGTCCTTGTCAAGTACTTTAACTGCCCTTTCTTTGTTCTAATTTTTGCATTGACCTCTTCAGCATATATTGATAAGGTATTTTTTTTTTTTTTTTTTTTTTTTTGAGACAGAGTCTCACTTTGTTGTCCAGGCTAGAGTGAGTGCCGTGGCGTCAGCCTAGCTCACAGCAACCTCAAACTCCTGGGCTCAAGCGATCCTCTTGCCTCAGCCTCCGCATGTGCCACCATGCCCGGCTAATTTTTTTTTTATATGTATATCAGTTGGCCAATTAATTTCTTTATTTATAGTAGAGACGGGGGTCTCGCTCTTGCTCAGGCTGGTTTCAAACTCCTGACCTTGAGCAGTCCGCCCGCCTCGGCTTCCCAAGAGCTAGGATTACAGGCGTGAGCCACAGCGCCCGGCCTTGATAAGGTATTTTAAAATATAGGTTTTATTATTTTTCGGGCATGGTGAGGCCAATAGATCAGGAGACAATTATCACTGAAAGGATAGTTTATTATTCACAGTTCCTGGACTAGGGTGGGGTAGTGGGGAGGGGAGGACACCACACTTTGCAGGGCCACATGGGGAAGCACCAGGATGTGTCAGAAGGCAGGGGAGGAGAGGAAAGCAGAAGCTGGAGCCTTTGTGTTTTCCAAGGGAAAGACAAGGCAGGGCAGGGTAGGGTAAGCAGGTTTAGGATTGGCTGGTTTGAATAATTTCAGCAGGCTCTGGGATGTAGGGGCTGTCTCTAGTTGTCTGATACCTGGCCTTTTTGAAAGGTGAAGGAAAAGTCTAAGACCTTTATTTTATAGATTAAGATACTGACGGGAAAAGGCTCTGAGAGCCTAGGTGGTCCGGTTTCCAGTTGAGTGTAGTTGTCCCCTCGCTGCCTCCAGCGGTGGCTGAATGAACATTTAACATTTAGCGTGGTGGATTCTTAGTCTCGGACGCACTGTGAATCACCTGCAGATCTTTAAAAACTACCAGTGCCCGAGCCGCAGCCCGGACTAATTTAAACCAGAAACTGGAGTGCCCGGGGAGACCTCAGTACTTTTTAAAGCTGCATGGGAGATTCCCACGTGCAGCCAAGAACGGGAACTATTTAATAAAAATTTTCCCTCCAATTGTGATTGTTTCATTTTTTTTTAATGCCCCAAATGAATCCTGAAAATTTATTATTTGGGAGAGTATCTGATATTGATCCTGTTTTACAGCTCATGATAATAGAATGATTGTTTCATTTTTAATGTGTAATAGTATTCTGAAAGATTACCAGTTTTCATCTTACAGTACATGTATATATATGCTCACATATACACATATATGTGTTTATACTAATTTAAAAAATAATGACAACGAACACGTTCACACCCATGCAGGCTGGAACTCCTCCCCAACCCGGAGTGCCGGCCAGACCACCCGGTCGTACTTTTCCTGATTTGACGCCACTCCTTGCCCTTCGCGGCTGTGCGCATGCGCAGATCGCCCTTCCCTGGCGAGCCAGACCTCGGCAGCTCCCAGCACCTTCTGCGGCGGCCGGGGAGGGCCCTGCTCTGCCGGCCCCGCCCCTCTCCTCGCCCCTGGAAGGTTCGGCCCCACCCCCGGGCTAGCTCCGCCCCCACCGCCCGCCGCCCGGGTTGTCCAAGATGGAGGGCGCTCCGCCGGCGCCGTTCGCCCTCCGACTGCTGCTGCTCGTGGCGCTGCCGGCCGCCGGGTGGTTGACGACGGGCGCCCCGGAGCCGCCACCGCTGTCCCGAGCCCCGCAGGTAGAGCAGGGCGGGCACGGCCGGCCACGCTTGGGCTCAGACCCTGGGAGAGGCCCTGGCCGTCCCCAACGACGCCTCCCACGTCCTGCCGGGGGCTGGGGGCAGGGTCCGAGTCCCACAGAGGAGGAGCGGGCAGCAGCACCCGAGGAAATGGGGGCGGCGGGGGAGGGGGCGAGAGCGCGGACGGAAGGGACGGCAAGGGGCCGGTTACTGCGTGGTTGAGCCTCGGGTCGCGAAACTTAAGAGACTGTCGGAGCGGCCCGAACTGTTGCTCATCCTGACGTGGCTTTGCCGTCCAAAGTGTGCGCGATCGCCGGCGGTCCCAGGCTTCCTTAATGGCGCCGTCCGCGGGTAGAGCCCGGCACTTGAGCAAGGCTGTGCCTGCGTGCTCGGGAGATGTGGAAGTTGCCCAGCTGGAGAGCGCGTTTCCAGGCCACCTGTGCCTGCTCGGCCTGGCGGCCGGCAGGGCGCGGCTGCGGGGCTCCGCGGGGCTGGAGGGGTGGGGAGAGGCTGAAGACCTGGCTCCCACCGACTCCGTCTTCTAGCCGAGTGTCAGAGAACGGGTTCTGCGAGCGAGGCGCGGCCGGCGGCGTCTGCGTCCGCGGGAACCTGGTCCGTCTATCTGGGGGCGGGGCCAGCAGTCTGTCAACAGGCCCCCCAGGTGGTTCTGGTGCCGGCTGAAGTTCCAGGACGGTTGCATCATCGTATCAAAAGGTGGCTGATTCTCACCATTTTTGCTGTGGAGTCGTGCCGACCTAAACCAGTATTTGCGTTTCTACAGTTGAATGTATGGTAGGAGAGTTTGAATATTTTAAATCTGAGTTTTCTGAGAATGACAACATAACCTTGGTATGCCTTACTAGTCAAGACTTGAATAGGAACACTCTAAATACAAAGGGGACTGGCACGGAAAATGTCCAATTAACAGTTATTTTTTAACTGTTAATGTTTTAGAGTAATGACCTTACTCCACTTTGGTACAAAAATGAAAAGCAGTTCTCAGTTTCAGTTCTGCTGAGGCATTCCAGGAAGCCACAACATTGGGTGCCCTCAGAACCGCTTGTATCTGAAATTATATGTGAACTACAGTTGCATCTGCTTAAAAGATACGAATTCGATGGACCAGCACCAAGAGACCAAATAAAAATGCAATAATTCTAAAGTTCCAGAAATGTGGATGTTATTTTCTCCTTTTTAAAATTTTTACACATTGACTGCCATGTGAATTGTATTTAACTCAGGCTCGTTTTGAGCCGGGGCCTTTTGAAGCAAAATCCTGCAGTTGGTTCGTGAAAATCTTGTGGATGGATGTTCTTATTGTTATAATTAATATTGACAATTTAATTCTAAAAACATGGATTGTGTTGCATATAACTCACACACAGAAAACAAAAAATAACAAATTAGAAAGGATCGTTTTTTGAAAAAAAATCACCATGGCCCCAGGGAAATTTTTTTTCTAGTGTGGCAGTCAATGTGTTGATTCATCATCAACACTTGTGTGTTCAAAGAGACTTTTATGTCTATATAATCTGAGAAAAATACATTTTGACTGCAAGCTTAAAATACACTGCAATGTCAGCTGGCTCTTAGTGATTTCATTTTAGTTCTCCTTTCTTAGGTCTTCATTCCACTTTTGGAAAGTTCATATCTAAACTCAGAATTTCATAGATTAAATGAATGCTGAGCAACTAGGAGAATCTTACTACTTTGAACATGTAGATGGGAAGCTGAAGCCACTTGATCTCAAGGTTTTTTCAATGTTTTGTGAAAAATTTCCAAATGTATAGAAAATTTGAAAGAATTCTATAGTGGTTCCTCATACTAGATATGCTGTTCAGGAAAACTTTATGCAGTGGTTGTTATGTCTGTTCTCTCCATTAGTCTCACCAGACTCTTGAGGCCACTGAGCACTTGAAATGTGGCCAGTGCCAGTGAGGAACTGAGATTTACAATTTTTCTTTAATTTTAATTAATTTAAATAGTCACATGTGATTAGTGGGTACCATATTGAACAGTGCAAACCTAGACTAGCATTAACATTTTACTGTACTTGCTTTATCACATGTCTGTCCATCCTTGTATCTAGCCTGATACAAATTTGAGAAAACTGGTTGAAGTCAAGAAAGTTCTTTTGTCTTCCCCCAGTGAATAAGAGTTACTGGGTTATAAGCATTTTTCTGTGTTTATGTAATTGTCAGAAGTTGAGGTCACACAAGATTGAAAATAATAATAGAAGTTTTTATAGTATATTCTTCTAATATTAAAATAACTTAGTCACCAATGAGAGGCATTCAGATGACATTTACTTTCTTGTATGCATAATTTTATATTTCATATATTTCCCTCAGACTTACTTATTTTATACCAGGTGTCTATTACCTTTATCCTTGGGAAGCCTTTTGTGTCCCAGATGAGCATCCTGTGAGGAATAAGAGGGAATTAGAGGGAAGAATTGAAAATTTGTGAGGAGAAACTTCTTAGTGTCTCTATGCACTTTCTTAGTATATGCAACCCAGGCTCACAAGCCTGAACTTTCAGTTCAATCAGAGATTCTCAGGAAGAGCAAGAAATGTGACCTGGCCCCAAACTCCAGGCCAGGAGGCTGTAAGCAATGCGGTTCTTTTCTGCAATAAAATCATTCAGAAAGACCAAAAAAGAATCTCATTGAAGTTGATTCTCTGGGAAATACAGTATGCTTGTGTCTGTTGTCTTTTTCAAATCCTGTATTTTACTAGGCAAATGATACATGTAAGTGCAGTAAATTGCTAACCCTATAGTGTATGTTCACTGCTGAAAGGCAGAAGTTATAGAAAGTTTTCTTAGAAGAACATCATTGGGCTGGGCACCATGGCTCATGCCTATGATCCTAGCACTCTGGGATGCTGAGGCAGGAGGATTGCTTGAGCTCAGGAGTTTGGGACCAGCATGAACAAAAGTGAGACCCCATCTCTACTAAAAATAGAAAAATTAACTTGGTGTAGTGGTGTGTGCCTGTAGTCCCAGCTACTTGGGAGGCTGAGGCAGGAAAATCACCTGAGCCCATAAGTTAGGTTGTCTGTGAGCTAGACTGATGCCGTGGCACTCTAGCTCTGGAGGCTTACCTGTGGGCTTTTCAAAGAACAATAGCTTACAGTTAATGAATCTTGTAGTTTGAAAAGAGGAATGGTCAACTGGCATTTGGACATAATATAGCTGTAAATTTGATGGCTTATTGAATGTTGGCTTGCTTTAGAGGTACTGTTGGTTCTAACTGAAGCTTAATCTAGATCTAGGTGGGCTTTGAGAAATCAGGCTGGTTCTGAGGAATTACTGGAAAGCTTCCTAGGGAGTTGGGAAGTGCACCAAATTCAGCCTACATGTATGGCGTGGGCCTTATATGGTGTAAAACCTGTTCTACATGTTATTCCTGGAATCAGCTCATGAAATCACCTAGGTTTTATTCTCTCATTTGTTGGAAATTATATATAGAGTATTCAGGATGTTCACAGTGCCAAGAAATATACTTGTATATTATTTTTGATGTTTATGAATAATTTTCCTATTTTCAAAGTTAATACAACCCCAAGGGAAATGTATTTGAGAAGAGTATGGCATTTATTCTAGGTTAACAATGTCTATCTGTGAATAAATTTAGGAAAGAATTGGAGTTCCAGAAGAATACATACAATATTATTCCACTAGGCTGGGCTCATGTGGCTCATCCCTGTAATCCCGGCACTCTGGGAGGCCAAGGCAGGGGATGGCTTGAGCCTAGAAGTTTGAGAACCAGCCTGAGCAACATAGTGAGATCCTATCTCTAAAAAAATTTTTAGGCCGGGCACAGTGGCTCACGCCTGTAATCCTAGCACTCTGGGAGGCCGAGGTGGGTGGATTGCTCGAGGTCTGGAGTTCGAAATCAGCCTGAGTGAGACCCCGTCTCTACTATAAATAGAAAGAAATTAATTGGCCACCTAATATATATAGAAAAAAAAATTAGCTGGGCATGGTGGCGCATGCCTGTAGTCCCAGCTACTCGGGAGGCTGAGGCAGAAGGATCGCTTGAGCCCAGGAGTGTGAGGTTGCTGTGAGCTAGGCTGATGCCATGGCACTCACTCTAGCTCTGGGCAACAAAGCAAGACTCTGTCTCAAGAAAAAAAGAAAAAAAAAATTTTTTTTAAATTAGCCAAACGTGGTGGCATGCACCTGTAATCCCAGCTACTCAGGAGGCCAAGGCAGGAGGATGGCTTGAGCCCAAAAGTACAAGGCTGCAGTGAGCTGTGATAATGCCACTGCACTCCACCCTAGGCAACAGAGTGAGACCCTGTCTCTAAAAACAAACAAAAAATTATTCCACTTATGTAAAGCTCAGAAACATAAAACTAAACAATGTGTTGTTTAGAGAGAGATACACAGGTATTAAAACTACAAAGAAAAGCAAAAAATGATTAACAGGGAAGTTGGTGTGGGGATTCCTTTGAGGGGAAGGAGGGGAAGCATGCAAGGGCTTTAGGGCAGGGCTGATATTCTAGATTTTAACCTAGATAGTAGGTACATGAGTGTAAATCTTTTAAATTCTATATTTGCTTATATATGCTCATGTGATATATTTCGCAATTAAATGAAAAGCATATTGATTATAAAAAATTGAAGTTATGAGTAAGGGTGCAAAAAAAGCTCTAAAATGAAAATGATGGTCTTTTAAAACATTCTAATGCTGTTATAAGTGATTAGGCAGTAAATATAATTGAGGGGAAAAAGAAAAAGCTGAGTTATTATCAGTCTGTAAAATGCATAACCACTCAATTTATATAATATTTTTTTTTGCAGGATGGCATCAGAATTAATATAACTACCATGAAAGATAATGGGGAGGTATCTAAAGAACAGGTTTGTCTTTTTTTATATTTTTAATATATCTTTAAGTGTTATGTAGCCTGTTTTATTTTTACCTATACATGTAATTTAGTTGGATAATATATTTTTGACATTAAGAATTATTCATTATTTATAAACATTGGAATTAATGTATATGCTGCTTTATTTTAAGGTCGTTCTTAACATAATCTATGAGAGTGGACAGGTATACGTAAATGACTTTCCTGTAAATAGTGGTGTAACGCGAATAAGCTGTCATACTTTAATAGGTGAGTACTACTAAATTATTTCCATAATTGTTTTTTTAATAATATTAAATTAGTAAAACAATTCTTGGGTGTTATATATTTTGATTTTAAAGTAAAAATATACATCATTTTCAGAGTATATGATAACACTAATATGTTTACAACTTTTTACTTATTTTAAATTGACTGTTCCTGGTACATTCACTTTTTTTCTTTCATAAGATTAGCACTGATGGAACTGCATTTCTGGTAGGTTGATAGCAATGTAAGAATGGGCATAGAGGTAGAAATCCAGTAGCAAGAGCCAGAATCTCGGAGGCGTGCTTACCACAATGGTAAAAACTGAAGAGAAAATGAATTGTCTGTCTTATTCTCTAGTTTTCAGTTTCGTCTACCTTATGTCAGTAGAACATTTTTTTTAACCTTTTACATTTTTTGATTGCTTAAAGGTAAGCAAATATGTTACTTTAGAATATATCATATTATTTGAATGGAATAACAAATATGAGGGATATAGTAGGATTTTAATACCTGTTTTAATATATGCATTTAAGGCAGTGCATTCTTCTCTTAGCACGTGTATCCTATATTTGATTTTATTTATTTATTTATTTTTTCTGAGACAGAGTCTTGCTCTGCTGCCTCAGCTTAGTTAGAGTGCAGTGGCATCATAACTCACTACAACTTCAAATTCTTGGGCTCAAGCAATCGTCCTGCCTCCCCGGTAGCTGGGACTATAGGCACGCACCATGATGCCTGGGTAATTTTTTCTATTTTTGGTAAAGATGGGTCTGGCTCTTGCTTATGCCGGTCTTGAAATCCTGAGCTCAAGCAATGCTCCTGCTTTAGCCTCCCAGAGTGCTGGGATTAAAGGCATGAGCCACCATGCCCGGCTGATTTATTATATATTTTAATTATCATTTACTTAAAAGTGTTGTCTAATTATTTGTTTTGCTATTTTCTTGCCTTAATAGTCATTTAGAAGTATATGGTTTAATTTCCAAACATTTGGGACTTTTTACTGATTTCCCCTCTATTGTCAGAGATACAGTCTGTATAATTTCAATCTTTTGAAATTAAACTTGATTTATGGCTTAGCATATGGTCAGTTTTAATAAATATTTCTTTCCATGTATACTTGAAAAGTTAGTTAGATGTGATGCATGCCAGGTCAGATTTTTAATCATGTTGTTCAGTGTTTCATGGAATTACTGATTTTTGTTTGCTTGCTTGCTCTATCAGTTACTGAGAAGAATATGTTAAAATCTCCACTCTGTGGATTTGTCTGTTCTCCTTTCATTTCTTTCATTTTTTGCTTTATATATTTTGACATGATATTACTCTAAGTGCATACAGATTCAGAACTGTTATATCTTCTTGGTTGATTGACTCTTTTATCATTATATGTCCCTCTTTGTCTCTGTTGATGTTCTTGCCTTAAAATCAGCTTTATCTATATTAGTTTAGCAATGACTGCTTTTTGGCTGGGCAGGAGGGGAGGCGGATTTTTGTGTTGTTTATCTTTGCATTTTCTTTCAGTCCTTCTGGGTCCTTTTATTTAAGGTGACTGTCTTATAAGCAGAATATATTTTTTGTTTTTAATTCAGTCTGTCAATCTATTTTTTATTTATTTACACTTAAGTACATTAATTACTATATATTATATAATATATAGTATAATTTATATACATTGATATGATTACTGATACATTTGGCTTTAAATCCTTTGTCTTAATTGTTTCCTCTTTGTCCCACCTGTTCTGTGTTTTTCTTCCCCTTTTTGGCTTCTTCTGTGTTAATTATTTTTGGAGTCATAGTTCCCTCATATTGTTTGTTTTGTATTATTTACTACTTTTAGTAGTTACCCTTGATAGCAATAAATTAGTACTTTTATTATTTCCCAAACAATGCAAGAACCTTAGAACACTTAAATTGCATTTATTCCCTTTCTGCCATTGGGTTATTGTTATCATGTATTTTAACTCTGTGTGTTGTTAAACGCCATGCAACATAATGATTCTTACTGTTTTATGCAGTCTAGTATTCATTTATGTTTATCCTCATGGTTACCCTTTTCAGTGCTCTCTTTTCCTTCCTATCTGTGTACTCTTCTGGGGTCATTTCCTTATGCCTAAAGAGTTCCCTTTAGTATTTCTTTTAGTACAGGTTTGTTAGCAATGAATTATCTGAGGTTTTATTGTTTGAAACATCTCATTTTCTTCCCGATTATGTGAGACTGCTTGTCATGCTTCTCTGCCTCCTAATCTTTGCTTTCTACTTGCAGCTTTTCAACTTCTCCATCTGTTCAGCTTGGGAGTTGGCAAATGCCCTGTGGGGAAAACTAGCATAAAATATTGTGGTCACCTCAGTGAGCTCTCTTCTTGGCCCTTTAAGTGCTGTCTTTTAGCTCTCTGATGCCTCTAGTCAGATGCTGGTTTTGAGGGTATATGTGGGTGTGTATTTTTTATATCTATTTTAGTGGTTCTCAGCAAGAAGGTTGTTGTACTACAAGCTAATCTATGGTAGCTAGGAAAAGAAATGCTAGTACTATTTAAATAATAATTTTTTTGGTGTTATATGTTGTGTTCAATGGAAATTTGACGTGAAATGCAGCCTAGCTGCTCTATTTGTTATAGCCATATTTCCAGTCATCCCTACTGTTACATTTAATTTGTTTCTTTTGATAGCCAAAGTAAATGCTCATCTTATCTAATTAAAACAGCAATCTTCAAAACATTAAATGAAGCAACAAATCTTCTTTAATTCCTTAAAAAATATTTTCTTTAGTAGGCATCTTTGTTATTTATTGATACGTAACAATTTAACCAAAAACTCAGTGGCCCAAGACAATATTTATTATTTCATAGTTTCCATAGCTCAGGAATCTGAGTTTGGCTTAGCTGGTTCCTCTGGCTCTCATAAGGGTACTGTCATTTCAAGACTAAAAGGGGGGGGGGTGTTCGTGTGCAGTGGATCACGCCTGTAATCCTAGCACTCTGGGAGGCCAAAGCGGGTGGATTGCTCAAGGTCAGGAATTGGAAACTAGCTATAAATAGAAAGAAATTAATTGGCCAACTAATATATATAGAAAAAATTAGCCGGGCATGGTGGTGCATGCCTGTAGTCCCAGCTACTCGGGAGGCTGAGGCAGCAGGATTGCTTGAGCCCAGGAGTTTGAGGTTGCTGTGAGCTAGGCTGACGCCACGGCACTCACTCTAGCCTGTGCAACAAAGCGAGACACCGTCTCAAAAAAAAAAAAAAAAAAGACTCAACTGGGAAAGATCTGCATCCTGCCTCATTCGTGTGGTTGTTGGCAAGATTCTGTTCCTTGTGAGCTTTTGAGCAGAGGCCTCGTTTCCTCACCAGATGTTGGCTGCAGGCCTCCCTCAATTCCTTGCCATATGAACCTCTCTGTAGAGCGTCTCAACATGGCAGCTGGATTCATCAGTGAGAGGACAAGTGAGATCTGCCAGCAAGAGAGAGGGTACTAGCAAGACAGAAGTCACAGTCTTTTATAACCTAATCACAGAAGTGACATTCCGTCACTTGTGCTGTGCTCAGTTTGTTAGCACCAAGTCACTAGGTCCAACACACAGCACACAGGGAGAGTATTACACAAAGGTGTGAAGACCTAGTGGCAAAGACCATTTAGGGCCATTTTTGAAAGCTGCCTATCACAGGAATGAAGTCAGAATATGAAGGGCTTTTGTTGATTTTAATTTAATTTTATTCTACAGTAAAGGTGCCAAATTTGTGGGCTGAGGAGTCGCTGCTTTGATGTATTTATATGACTGCATTTTCTCCCCCATTGGGTCTCTTGTGCCCTAGCATTCAGGCACACAGACCTGCTGACAAGGAGCTTACTGTTCCAGGAGGGAGACCAGTGGGTAAATGGTTGATTGAAACTCTGAGATGGACCGTGACAGGGGACTTTTCATAGTTGTGAGCTTCAAAGGATATGAGGAGGTGAGGCATAAGAGAGAGAGAAGCCTGAAGGAGGTGGACCAGTTGGAGAACTACCAAAAACTCACAGGATTCCACTGAAGGTGTCTGAGCAGGAGCCTGTGGAATCAAAACTGCACCATAGTGAGATTAGTCTGGCACTGTGGTTTGGAGGGGGTGAGACTAAGAAGGGGAGAATAGTTGGGTAAATATTGTAATAATAGTAAGTGGTTAATGAACTAGATATTGGGCTATTCCAGTCAAAGGGAATAGGACTATAAAAGCACAGAATTGGTTTGAACAGCTTGGGTCTGTTGCATCTGAGTTCCAGTTTGGCAAATAATCCTCAGATTATATAAGAGACAGAAACTAAATGCTCAATTTGTGGCAGTTTCATCGGGGTATGTTGTTTTGTCTTTTTCTATAGCACGTTCTACCTTAATAGAATAGCCATTGGCTCTATAAACCAGCTGAAGCTACTACACCCTATCTCTATTGAGGTGGGGCTGGGGGTTTCTTGGCTAGAGAGGAACATGGCCAATAGCTAGTTGCACCCAGTCGCCCCTACTAGGAGGTGATATGGGCCTTTCCCACCCTCTTTCCCGATTCCTACTCTCTCCAACAGTAACAAGTTACTTACTGGGGAAAGGACTGAGGAAAAAACTTAGTGTTCTTACTGCTTAGGCTCCTTCTATCACAGGATTTTGTGGATGATTGAATAGATGAATGAATGTGCTTATTTTGCTAAAACATGGAATTGACTGTATCTTCCGGCCTACTTTATAAATAGTTATGCCCTGCTGGTTCCTTATTACCAACGTGTGTAAAAGAATAGGAAAGATGTTGCTAGTGTGATACTTCATACAAACTCTGAAGATCAAAGCATTTTCCACTTTTCAAATCAGCATAAGCAGTCATAAGGATTTGTAAAGTTGTCCTTGTTTTTATAAATCTGATACAGCATTGAGGTCAGGGATGAAGAAAGCCAAAGAATTGGTTTACAACTGTGTTATTCCATGTAAATGTCATCAAAATAATCAAATTTAGTAACAAATTTGGTGGCAAAATTTGTTCAAAGCTGTCACTACTTTTTTTTATAGTGAAGAATGAAAATCTGGAAAATTTGGAGGAAAAAGAATATTTTGGAATTGTCAGTGTAAGGATTTTAGTTCATGAGTGGCCTATGACATCTGGTTCCAGTTTGCAACTAATTGTCATTCAAGAAGAGGTAGTAGAGATTGATGGAAAACAAGTAAGATAGTATGCTTATTAATTGGGAATTAAATTGTAAAGCTTTAAATTTGTGCTAGGTATTATGCATGTGTTCAGTTACTTGTTTCTGACTTGATAAGGAAGGTTTCCTAATGTTGCCTTTATCTAATCATTTAGATTTTTTATATACTTATATTAGCGTTTGGAATATATTTTTTCAATTGCTCATATTCGTGTATGTTTATATCATTTAAAAATGTTATGAACATAATTAAAAAGAGAAAGTAAGTGAAGGGATTGCATTTGGTTCAGTCTGCTACTATTTCCTCTAAGTCCCTATGTGTAAATGAAATGGAACTAAGTTTATAGTAGTGCTAAAGCAGACAAGAATATTATTAAAATTGTAAATTAAGTAACTCAAAGTGAGTGTGGGGTGGGATGGAATAAAAAGTCATTGTCTGTAGGACACATTTTTTAGTTACAGAAATCAGGGAAGAAAATTCACTTTTCAATTCTTATGGAGTTGTGCCATTATTTAAAATAAAGAATAATTATTTTTTCTTCCATAGGCTCAACAAAAGGATGTCACTGAAATTGATATTTTAGTTAAGAACCAGGGAATACTCAGACATTCAAACTATACCCTTCCTTTGAAGGAAAGCATGCTGTACTCTATTTCGCGAGACAATGACATTCTAGTTACCCTTCCCAACCTCTCCAAAAAAGGTAATTTAAATGACTATTATTTAAAGTATTAAGGACATTATTTCTTTCATTGATAGCTTTATATGCTATTGAACTTTATAATTTTTAGACTATTTGCAAAAGTTGCTTTATATCTGTAATTATAGTTAATATGTTTGGAAATAAGCCTCTTTAAAAAATACTTTATGTCATGTATTACTTTATATGTCCATTAAGGACTTTAGAAATCTATTTTGAGCCTTAGTAGAATGTCATCAATGCTCGTTGGATAGTGACATTTTCCGGTAATTATCCACTTTTTCTCTGGGTATTCATCACAAAATATGTGATAAGAATATTGTAAAAGTTCATTTAGAGGAAGAAGTATTCATTTTTTCAGTGAAACATAGAACTTCTTAAATTTTCGCTTTCTGTATAACAAAATCATAACTACTTTATCCCCTCATGACTGTCTTAGTTTATATCTCCCTTCTGGCATGTAAATCAATGCACATTCAAATACATTTATTTTTCTCCCATGGTAAAATATATGTTATTATCCTAAATGTTATTGGTATAGTGATTTTAGGACTAGTAGGAGAGACACCAGCATTCCGCTAACATTTTGTTAACTCTGCTCTTCCTCCTCAGTAGAAAGTGTTAGTTCATTGCAGACCACTAGCCAGTATCTTACCAGGAATGTGGAAACCACTGTAGATGAAGATGCTTTACCTGGCAAATTACCTGAAACTCCTCTCAGAGCAGAGCCTCCATCTTCATACAAGGTAAATCAAGTATTTGGTGTTACCATAAGCATTTATAGTTATGATGAAGAAAATAGATCCTGGCATTTAAAAAGAGGTAGAAACCTCCGGGTTGGAACCATGGAACGAGCACTGGTGATAATGAACACATTGTGGTGGTTTTAATTTGGTATTTTTAGATATTCCTGTTTTCTTCTTCAGACTTCATTAATATAGTCAGATCATGATTATCAAGGCAGTGGATTTCATTTGGAATTTTAAGTTCCAAAATTCCTTCCTATATCCTCATATTTCTGTTTGTTCTGCAGTTCCTACCTTGCATACACAAAGTGCATTATGGCCTCAGGATTTTGCACAGTGATTAAGCACAAATAGTTGTGAGCATACTTTCTGGAGTCAGACTGTCTGGGCTTGAAACCTGGTTCTGCCACTTACTGGTTGTGTGATCTTAGACAAATTCTTAATCTCTGTAACCTCAGTTTCTTTTTTGTTGTTGCCCAGGCTAGAGTGAGTGCTGTGACATCAGCCTAGCTCACAGCAACCTCAAACTCCTGGGCTCAAGCAATCCTACTGCCTCAGCCTCCCAAGTAGCTGGGACTACAGGCATGCACCACCATGCCTGGCTAATTTTTTCTATATATATTAGTTGGCCAATTAATTTCTTTCTATTTATAGTAGAGATGGGGTCTCACCCTTGCTCAGGCTGGTTTTAAACTCCTGACCTTGAGCAATCCACCCGCTTTGGCCTCCCAGAGTGCTAGGATTACAGGCGCAAGGCACCGCGCCTGGCCAACCTCAGTTTCTTTATCTGTACAATGGGGTACCCACTTAACCCTTAAAGTAGTATAAAGTGGTATCTCATGAGTTTGTTGTAGTAAGGGGTACTACATATAAATATACATTGGTACCTACTAAGTACCCATATTACCTATGACATTTATACTGCTTACTAAGAAGATATTCATGGGTTCAGCGTATCTTAATATTTCTCTCTATATATTAGCTAGACCCCTACCCAAAATAATTTCCATTTAGATGATCAGGGTCTATGATTAATCTCAAAGGAGAAGTTCCCACTGAAGGTTAGGGTTGCTTATTTTGGGTCACTGTAGCAATTTGGATTGTATCACCCTCACCCTGTCTCCCAGCCTCCTCCTGCAGGTCAACCCCAGAGCAGACTGTCTTCATAGCCCATGCCATCAATGCCCACCTTAGATTCTTCTCTTGCTCTTAAAGTATAGAAACATGTTTTATTCACAATGAGCTGCTCATCTGTTCTAAAAGCTACTGATACGTTTTTCTTTCTCTTCTTTCTCTTGTGCAACTACTGGAAACAGTTGACTCCGGTACATTTTGTTTATAGTGGACTAGCCTAACTAATCTCTTGTCAATTGTCAGCTAGCCATTATTTTCACTTGACTTATAGTTAGATAACAGTATAAATAATCTTAAAGGATATTAACTTTTCTGCGTGCATATTATAAGACAATTTTAAAAATTATGAATAACTTTATTGAGGTATATTTTAAAATAAAATACACCTGTTTAAAATATAGTTAGTTTTGACAAATGTAAACATCTGTGTAGCCACCAGCATAATCAAAATATAAATATTTTCATTACACCAAAGATAAAACATTAAAAATTTAAAGTTTATTCTCAGAGCTTAGTGAAACTTGCATGTCTAATCAAAACTCCTTTCCTAGGTAATGTGTCAGTGGATGGAAAAGTTTAGAAAAGATCTCTGTAGGTTCTGGAGCAGTGTTTTCCCAGTATTCTTTATGTTTTTGAACGTCATGGTGGTTGGAATTATAGGAGCAGCTGTGATAATAACCATCTTAAAGGTGCTTTTCCCAGTTTCTGAATACAAGTAAGTATTTCTTATTTTTGAAACAGTATTTTTAATAATTAAAAAGTGAGATATTTATTATAGAGTAGAAAATATGAAAATGAAAGGTAAGACAAGTGGGAGGGAAAATAACACCTATTTTTTTTCCTAGCCCATGTTCCAACTTTAGCAAAATTAAAACACATTTATTAAATACCTATTGTGATCAAGATGCGTAAAGATTTAAATACAATTAAGACAAACTCTGCTCTTTAAGAACTCAAACTTGGCTGGGTGTGGAGGCTCACACCTATAATCCCAGCATTTTGGGAGGATCACTTAAGGTCAGGAGTTAGAGACCAGCCTGGGCAACATAGCAAGACTCTGTCTCTATAAATAACAAACAAATTTAAACTCTACTAGGGAAAGGAAAAAAATGCATATAATGTAAAATGCAATGGTTATGATCAGAGATGGACAAGAGAACTTCAATATTTATTTTCAATTCTAAAGTACCAATTTAAAATGTAGTTCATTTCATAAGACTAGCAGGATATTCACTGCACTGTTGTTTGTAATAGAAAACAAAAGCAAAATAAGAACCTTCTTAACTGTTTATCAGTGAGGGCTTGACTAAATAATGGCACACACATGCAGTGACATTCTCTCTGGCTGAAGAAGTCCCACATCTGTTAAGTAGAGGGAAAAGTTACAAAGTAGTATGATTCATTTGGGTAAAACAAAAAGTATTATGTAATACTATGTGCATAAAGGAATAGAAAATTTTCAGAATGAGAAAAGTTATCTCTAATGAGTGGGAGTTAGAGTGCAGGGGTAGAGAGACTGTTTCTTCCTTTTATATTTGATTTTTTAATCAAACGAATTATTTTATAATAAATTTTAAAATGAATTGTTAGCATTTCCACAAGTTAAACCATTAATCATTTTATGTATCTTAATACAAAAAAATCTCAGTGGAGATAACCAGTTTTCAGTTTAGCTAAATTACATTGTTCAGATGTAATGTAAAACTAGAAACCAGGTTTGCAATATACTTTATCAATAGCAATTGTACTGAGGGTATGTTCTGGTAGAAAAAGATTTAATCAATACAGAACTGTAGAGAGCAATTAACTGTTTCTCTTCACCTCTCTGTTCTTCAGTTCTTATTTTTCTACCTAGAGGTAGGCAGGTCATGTTTGGGTTGGCATCTTTTATCCAAATTCTATGTATTGATGTAAATATATACTAGATAACTATAATTGTTTATCAACACAGACTCTTAATTGTTCTACAAATTGCATTTTTCATGTAAGACACAGGTTCCTAAATGTTCTTGGTTCATAGCATCCTTAGTGTGCCAGTAATTTTTTTTTAATGTCCCTACCAAGGCCAAAAGAAAAAAATTTTTTTTTTTTGAGACAGAGTCTAACTTTGTTGCCCAGGCTAGAGTGAGTGCCATGGTGTCAGCCTAGCTCACAGCAACCTCTAACTCCTGGGCTCAAGCAATCCTACTGCCTCAGCCTCCCCAGTAGCTGGGACTACAGGCATGCCCCACCATGCCTGGCTAATTTTTTCTATACATATAGTTGGCCAAATAACTTCTTTCTATTTATAGTAGAGACGGGGTCTCGCTCTTGCTCAGGCTGGTTTCGAACTCCTGACCTCGAGCAATTTGCCCGCCTTGGCCTCCCAGAGTGCTAGGATTACAGGCGTGAGCCACCACACCCAGCCCCAAAAGAAAAATTTAAAGAAATATATTTTTATTTCATTCTTAAATGACTAATTTAAGAGATTGCTAATGGGCCAGGCACAGTGGCTCACGCCTATAATCCTAGCACTCTGGGAAGCCGAGGTGAGCAGATCGCTCAAAGTCAGGAGTTCAAAACCAGCCAGAGCAAGAGCGAGACTTCATCTCTACTATAAATAGAAAGAAATTAATTGTCCAACTAATATATATAGAAAAAATTAGCCGGGCATGGTGGCCCATGCCTGTAGTCCCAGCTACTTGGGAGGCTGAGGCAGTAGGATTGCTTGAGCCCAGGAGTTTGAGGTTGCTGTGAGCTAGGCTGACACCACGGCACTCGCTCTAGCCTGGACATCAAAGCAAGACTCTGTCTCAAAAAAAGAGATTGCTAATGGGATGTGTGTGCCTATACGGCACTACACAATACCTTGTATCTTGGAATTAGATTGGACACTGTTATTCTCATTTCCTGTTCAACATTAGTTTTATATGGTGTTTGCTTTTTATCACAGTAACCACCTTTCTTAGTCTGTTTTCTGTTGCTATAAAGAAATGCCTGAGGCTAAGTAATTTATAAAGAAAAGAGGCTTATTTAGCTCACAGTTCTGCAAGCTGTAGAAGCAGCATGGTGTGGGCATCTGCGCAGCTTCTGGTGAGCACCTTAGTCTGCTTTCCCTGGAGGGGGAACACAAAGGGGAGCTGGAAGCATGTGTAGAGATCACAAGGTGAGGGAAGAAGCAAGAGAAAGGGGGAAGGTGCCAGCTGTTTTTATTTTATTTTATTTTTGAGTCAGAGTCTCACCGTGTTGCCTGGGCTAAAGTGCCGTGGCGTCAGCCTAGCTCACAGCAACCTCAAACTCCTGGGCTCAGGTGATCTTCCTGCCTCAGCCTCCCAAGTAGCTGGGACTACAGGTATGCGCCACCATGCCCGGCTAATTTTTTGTATATATATTTTTTAGTCGGCCAATTAATTTCTTTCTATTTTTAGTAGAGACGGGGGTCTTGCTCTTGCTCAGGCTGGTTTCAAACTCCTGACTTAAAGCGATCCACCCATCTCGGCCTCCCAGAGTGCTAGGATTACAGGCATGAGCCACTCAGCTGTTTTTAACAACCAGCTCTTGCAGGAACTAAGAATGAGAATTCACCTCCAGCTTCAGGGAGGGCATCTATTCATGAGGGATTGGTATCCACCCCCATGACTCCAACACTTCCCATTCGGCCCTAGCTCCAACAATGGGGATTAAATTTCAACATGAGGTTTGGAGGGGACAAAGTTCTAAACTGTAGCACCACCAAAAACCCAGCTTTGGAAAGATGACTTCATTGAATGTTTTGCAGTCTAATGTTGAAACCATGAACTACTCTCAAGCTAGTAGTACACATGAAGTCTCCTAAAAATTGAAAATATTCTGTGAAGCCTTTGAGTTTACTGTGACAAACCAGGGGCTTCGGTGCAGTTTGGAATCTGAACCAGTTCAGAACTTTTCCTATCAGTGCATATATTAGCAAATCCTCTTTTGTCACCCATAATTACCTGATTTTTGAATGCCAATTTTATTTATGTCTGTATTTTTGGTTGACAAATCATACTTATATTTAGCATAACTATTCTTTTTATAGTTGCATAGTCCTAAAGGAGATAGGAAAAACCAAAGTGTTTTTCCTACTCTCACACTCAATACAATACCTTATGCTTTGATCACCAGTGTGTAGGGGGGGATTTCTCCCCACCAGCAACTAGCTAGGGACGTCTTATTCAACTAAGTTCCAACACTGTGTACCTGGAGAGAGCATAAGATCCCACATGTTAAGGGCTCAGTTCCACAAGACTGCCCCTCATTTCAAATGCCAATCCCAAGCCCCAGGTTGTGACCTGTGCTTCTGACCAACTGGCAATAAATCAGGGTTCCCATGACCCACCTTAGTAGCACAGCTCACAGAACTCAGGGAAAAACTTCCATATACTGGTTTGTTACAAAGGAAACAGATGAATGGGCAGATGGAAGAGATGCATAGGGCGAAGTATAGGAAGGGCAGGAGAGGCACGGAGCTTCCATGCCCTTTCCAGGTACACTACTCTCCGGGCACCTCTGTTCTGCTATCCATAAGTTCTCCACACCTAATCCTTTTGGGTTTTTATGGAGGCTTCATTACAAAGGCACAGTTAATTACATCATTGGCCATTGGTGATCAATCAACTCAACCTAACTTTCAGCACCCCTTCCTTCCCACCCATCCCCAGGTTGGGGCTTAAGGGGGTGGGACAGAAAGTTCCAACCCTCTAATCACAGGGTTGATTCCCCTGGCAACCAGCCTCCATCCTGAGGTTATCCGGGAGCCCCCAGCCATCAGTCATCTCTTTATCATATAAAATACACCACTCCAGAATTCAAAGATTTTAGGAGCTTTGTGCCAGGAAACCAGAGGAAGATTAAAAAATTATATATATCTTATTATAAATCACAGTATCACAACAGTGTTCCACAATATGGATATACCATAATATAACCATTCCTCTATCAGACATCTGGGCACTTTCTAATTTCATGTTAATTCCAGTAATGCTCTAGTATACATTCTTTTTTTTTGAGACAGAGTCTCACTCTTTGCCCGGAGTAGAGTGCGGTGGCGTCAACCTAGCTCACAGCAACCTCAAACTCCCCGGCTCAAGCAATCCTTCTGCGTCAGCCTCCTGAATAGTTGGGACTACAGGCATGTGCCACCATGCCTGGCTAATTTTTTCTATATATTTTTAGTTGTCCAGCTGATTTCTTTCTATATTTAGTAGAGACGGGGTCTCACTCTTGCTCAGGCTGGTTTCGAACTCTTGACCTTGAGTGATCCTCCCGCCTCGGCCTCCCAAAGTGCTTATAGGCATGAGCCACTGCGCCCGACCTAGTACACATTCTTGTACGTAGATCTTTTTTGCACATGTATTTACATAGAATAGATTCCTAAAATGACTGTGTCAAACAGTATGTGTGTTAAATAACTCCTCAAAACCTGATGATAATTTTTTGGTTTTGCTACTGTAGACAAAAGTATAATCTCATTTTAATCTGCATTTTGTTCTTACTAGCATGTTTGCAAGTTTAGGTCTAACTAGGTCTAGCATCTTTGTAATAATTAGATGTATATATTTCTCTGGTGACTTGCCGATTCATAGCCTTTGTCCATTTTTCTTTTCTTTCTTTTTTTTTTTTTTTTTTTTTTTTTGAGACTGGGCTCTGTTGCCCAGGCTGGAGTGCAGTGACACAATCATAGCTCACTGTAACCTCCAACTCCTGGGCTCAAGCAATCCTTTTGCCTCAGCCTCCCAAGTAGCTGGGACTACAGGTGTGTGTCACCACACTCTGCTAATTATTCTTATATTTTACAGAGACAGAGTCTTGCTGTGTTGCCCAGGCTGGTCTTGAACCTCCTGGACTCAAGGGATCCTCCTGCCTTAGCTTCCCTAAGTGCTAAGATTACAGGCATGAGCCACCACACCTGGCCTTGTCCATTTTTCAATTGTATTGCCTTTTGTGTAATCATAGGAGCTCTCCTTTGTCTTTTATACACATGTAATGCATTGTGGAGATTTTTTCAAATTGCAGACTAACATTTGCCTTTTGTTCTTATATTATGGCATCTCATATCATACAAAAGCTTTAAATTTGAGATCTAAGCAGTTTTGTGCTATTCCTTTATGGCTTCTAGGGTTTTTATTTTGCCTAAGTAGTCCAGCCTTTTCCCATCTTCAAATTATGTTTTCTTCTTTTTTTTTTTGAGACAGAGTCTCACTCTGTGGCCCCTGGTGGTGTCGTGATAGCTCACTGCAACCTCAAACTCCTAGACTCAAGCAAATCCTCTTGCCTCAGCCTCCTGAGTAGCTGTGACTACAGGTGGATGCCACAATGCCTGGCTAATTTTTCTATTTTTAGTAGAGATAGGGTCTCACTGTTGCTTAGGCTTGTCTTCAACTCCTGGGCTTAAGCAATCCTCCCATCTTAGCCCCCAGAGTGCTAGGATTACAGGCGTGAGCCACCGCACCCAGCCTATGTTTTCTTAAAACTTATTTTTTAGGCTGGGCACGGTGGCTTATACCTATAATCCTGGCACTCTGGGAGGCCATGGGAAGGATTGCTCAAGGTCAGTAGTTCGAAACTAGCCTGAGCAAGAGTGAGACCCTGTCTCTACAAAAAATAGAAAGAAATTAAGTGGCCAACTAAAAATATATACAAAAAAAAAAAAATATATATATATATATATATATATATATATATATATATATATATATATATAGGAAAATTAGCTGGGCATGGTGCTACATGGCTGTAGTCCCAGCTACTCAGGAGGCTGAGGCAGAAGGATCGCTTGAGCCCAGAAGTTTGAGGTTGCTGTGAGCTAGGCTGACACCACAGCACTCTAGCCTGAGCAAAAAGTGAGACTTTGTCTCAAAAAGAAAAAAAAAACAACTTATTTTTTATCACCACTTTTGTGTATAGTTTTAGCTAGAGTTCTGATTGTTTTCCAGAGGCTCTTGTTTCATTGGTAATTTCTCATGGACTTAGAATGTTACCTTATTACAAACTAAGTTTCCATATACATTAATCTGTTTGTTTAATGATTTACTTGTGCCAGTAGTACAGTTTTAATTACTATGTTTTAATAAAACCTTTGATAGCTGGTTAGGGCAACTCTCTCATCTCCCTGCTATTCTTTTAAAAAAATGTTATGGCTATTCTTGCACAGTTTCTCCCATTAACTTTAGAATCAGCTTGTTCAGTTCTGTAAACAACTTAGCCTCTGTTGATGCTGTGATCAGGATAACACTGAACTTAGAATACAGGGTCTTGGATTCAATTCGAAGACCTACTCTTAGGTCAGAGATTTTAAGTAACAAAATGAGAAATGCTGTCTAAAGATCTAGGTTGTAGTCCAGTGGCGAGTATTGTTTAGAAAGCTGCTTGGGCTTAGTCTTTTTGCTCAACCTGGGCATATCTAGAGACCTAACTCTGTGTCTTGGAGATCTATATTTACCCTATCCTTTCCTTCCCTACTGTACAAAATAATGAACTTCCTCTGTACCTTTCCATTCCCTCAGTTTGGTTAAAGTGACTTTGGGCTCAGAGTTTGTATAACCATTATAAACTTTTAAATACAATGAAGCAAAAGCACCTGATCTTAGGTTTATATTTAATTTATAACCTTGAAGTAGCCCTACCAAAATATGGGCAGACAAAATACTTAATTTTGACAGTAAATAATCATCTTCTGTTTCAGAGGAATTCTTCAGTGGGATCAAGTGAATGTTATACCTGTGACAGCTATCAACATATACCCAGATGATCCTGAAAAAACCGTTGAAAACCTTGAAGATAAAACATGTTCTTAAAACACCATCTCAAATCATGGAATTTGCCACTTGAATATAATTTTTTAAAAATCATTAATCAGTTTAAACACTAGAGAAATTGTTAAACTCCTAAGACTGTTTGAAAGTTGACCTTTACAGTGCCAAGTTAAAGTTTACCTTATGCTCTAAAAGGGCTGGCTATTCAGATGATGAATTGTTACAGAAAGTTTAAACAAAGTGGAAGAGAAGATATGTGAAGAGAGTTTGAAATTACCAAAAAAAAAAAAAAGCCACGCGCCAATAACATTTCAAGGTGCCTTTGTTAAGGAAATTATATCCACTTATAATATATAAGACTTTACGGAAAGCACTTTATAAAATTCTAATTTAAAAGCTCAAGAACTTAATAACACTTATTTTTTATTCAGTACAATGTGCCTTTTATACTAAGTATATGACTCAGTATAAAATCATTGAAGTGTATCGTGATTTGATTGTATCCTGTACCAAGACTACTTGAATTCACCAGGATTTAAAAGTAGTGACATATTCTCACTCTAAAATAAACTATTTTTCTTTTGAGGAAAAAAGTATAGCTGTTTTGGTTATAATTACATAAAAACTTTGCCCAGGAGAAATTATCTCATAGCTCCTTTCATTTACACTGGCTGAAACCAAGGCTCAAATCAGTTGAGTCCATCGACACCATGGAATTGGAGTGTGCCCTTGGTCTTGTGGTTCTAGGTATAGTGCTATTTACCCTGCCATTGTTTATCTTGCTTTTGAAAAACACCACATATATTGACATATTTTACAATGTGACCTAGTACATATACCTTATCTTTATGTAATACTTTCTGTTGCTAACTTTTTTTTTATTGCAACCCATCATTTTAAAACCCTTGTCTAAGTAAGTAATGGTTGGTTTTGAAACCACTTTATATTTAGGGTAAATAGATACCATGTTTCCCTGAAAATAAGACCTTCCCATAAAATAAGACCTAGTGATGGGCGTGGCTACACAGAATATCTGCACAACCTATGCATTTCGGTAAAGATGACGAACAGCCCTTCTCATCTGCCCCATGAGAGCTCTATTGCTCAACATGAGAGATTGGGGCCAATGGTTCTAAAGGAAATAGAGTCACAAATTCAGGATGGAATTCGGGGTTTGGAGAGTTATGATGATGTTCCAGAAGAAGATGACTTAACTATATTGAATAAATGTAGATTGTTGTACCGTACTTAAAAAAAATAACACATCCCCTGAAAATAAGCCCTAGGTGTCTTCTTGAGGTAAATAAATATAAGACCCTGTCTTATTTTTGGGGAAACACGGTATGTGTGTTGGTGGGGAAAGATGACAGCAGAATGAAGGAATGATGTTTCATTTTGCCTAGCTGTTTTTAATTATTACATTTTACAGAGCCATTACTCCTATCTCCATGTTGTATAAAAATAAATAATAGCATGCAATTTATAATTTGATCTTAAAGTTACCAGCTAGTAACACTTTTTCTTTATGCTCTTCCTCATTACATAAGTTGTTAGAATGCACCAGTTCACTTCAAATGATCACAGGGTCTTATTTCCTCCATTAACCATAAGCATATAGAGTCTAGCAAGGAATAAAATTTAGGAGGCCACATGGTCTGTTGGAGAGCATAGGCTTTGCAGTTCACAGATTCCTACCCTGACTTCTCTCCTTCTCAGTGAGACTTGGGACCACAACAAGGCACTCAAATCCCTGAGGCTCTGGTTGGGAGGATACAAAAAGTTATTTTCTTCTAAGTAATCATAAATGGAAATTGTATCTAAAACTTTGTATCATTAACTTTTTTTTTTTTTTGAGACAGTCTCACTCTGTTGCCTGGGCTAGAGTGCCATGGGATCACCCTAGCTCACAGCAACCTCAAACTCCTGGGCTCAAGTGATCCTCCTGCCTCAGCCTCCCAAGTCGCTGAGACTATAGGCATGTACCACCATGCCTGGCTATTATATATTATATATATATGTATTTTTTTTTTAGTTGTCCAGCTAATTTCTTTCTATTTTTTTAGTAGAAATGGGGTCTCGCTCTTGCTCAGGCTGGCCTTGAACTACTAAAGTCAAATGAGCCACCTGCCTTGGCCTCCCAGAGTGCTAGGATTACAGATGTGAGCCACCACGCCCAGCCTATACCATTAACTTTTATTTCATTTATAGCTTTTATTTATACCATTACCTTTAGCATCCATGAGTTTAGTATGCATGAGTTGATGAGTTTAATTGGAGTATAATGAGCAGCAGAGGCATAGAAAAATACCTACTTGCCTATAGTGCAGCCTCTTATGTAGGAAGAATAAAAATTAATCAAGCAAGACTATTTTTTTTCCTTTTTAAAATGCACAGTAAAATGAGAGTCTTTAAAACTCTCCCAGAAAGAAGGGATGCTACCATAACACCTAATGGGAAAGAAGGCACACTGGGCTTGGCTTATACTTTAATTAGCTACTTGTGTAAAAATGTTTAGGGATTTTAAGCTATCCACTGGCACCTAAGGAGTGAGGCCAATCTTATTCTCCTTCCTGTGAGTAAGAACAGCAGACAGCGGGAGAGAAGATGCTATACTTAGAAGTAACAGTTAACACAGCTTTCCTACGCCCTGAATCAAGACTGGTGATTTGCTGTTGTAGCTGTTAGTTTTAAACAGGAGCCAAGAGCAATGTCTTTCTTGTGATCTGTTGGCTATTCAGTATCTCAAAATGAATGGCTAATTCAGTTGGAAAACACATAGTCTAGGGAAGAAAAAAACAACAACAAAAAAAAAACAAAAGAAAAAGACAGCTTTCCAAGTAACATTTGTGTTTGTTAGCATTTGTGATCAGTGAAATAGAAGTCTGGTAATGTTAAAGTAAAACAAATTTTCAGCTTAAAAATATTGCCTTTATTAACAATCATAAAGGTTTTTTAAAAATCTTACCATTATGAAAGCTTAAAAAAATATAGCACTCAGTGCAATGAATTACTACATTTAATTATTATCTCAAATACTTAAGGCAGATTTCTCATGTGAGAATTTAGCATGATCCAAACTCAAATATCCATTTCTCATATCTTTCAATGTCTGCAGCAGATACTGACTTAGAAACCTTTTTCAAAGCCATTTCAAAATCCTCCATTGTTGTAGGCATGTGCATTTCTTCTTTTGAAAGATTTCGGATTTCTTCTGGGGTCAAACCTTCAATACGCCTTCTCATTGCCATCAAGGATGCATCCCTACATTTTAAGTTTAAAAAAAAACCCATTAAGTGTTATTTTGGTTGAATTAACACCTGTGAGATTTTCAGAAAACAGAAAAAAGCCTGTGAAATGAAAAATTTTCAATGCATGTGTTGTAACATTCTTTAATTATGATCTTATCACATATACATATGTAGTACTGTATAGAATCTTACTGAAATACAAGGCCTGTTGTAGATTTTAGCAGTTAAATCTTCCATCCTTAAAATAAGGATGCTAATCAATTTAAATAATTAACACTGAATAGAAAAGCCCAGAAAAAGAGTACAATAAAGCTAGCAAGTGAATTTCATTACAAGTATTCAATAAAATAAGGAATACTAAATATCACAGACAGAAGAGAACCTATTAACCAGAAAATTAAATATTTTCTCCACATAGCATAAAAGCCAGATGATCAAGTTAGTGGTTTCTCCTTTTCCTCTCTATGTGCTTTACAAAAAAAAAAAAGAGAGAAACTTCAGATTTAAGTTGTTCCTGCCTTTCACCAAGTTGCATCTTTAAACACAGCCACCATTTTATGCAAAGGAATAGCAGGATACCTGCTTTATGTATATATACATGCTATCTCTAATCCTCATAACCCTGTGTGGTATGCTCACTTTAGAGATGAGGAAACTAGTGTAGTTAAGCTCCTGGTTAATAAGCATCTGAGCTAACAGATTAGGACAAACCCTACTTAAATCAGCTGGATTACAGAAAGTCTCAACTGCTATTCCTATCACATTTAGTATATATTCACTGAAATTGAGACCGTACTTTGTGTGTGTGCTAGGTCAATATATTTTACAATCATTTCCTATTTCACTGGTGAAGAAATGCACCAATTTTTTAAATCTAAGACAGTTACTTTCTATTTTGCACAAATTATTCTAGCATAGCTTCTTGAACTTGTAGCTTTCAAATGAACTGTAGACTCTTCACTGACATGAAAGATACCCAAAAGTCTTACCAGGACCTGCCAATACTAAATTAAACCCAAAACTTGTGACTCTGACTATAGTGTGAATCTTTATTCTTCATCTATCTTAATTCAACATAAAAACTTCATGTTAGCAGTTTATACCCACAAAAACCTATGTTTCCAAATAATTCATACCTGCACACATTGGTAATGTCCGCACCTGAATAACCTTCCATGTTTTCTGCTATACTGGCAAGGTCAACATCATCAGCCAATTCCAGCTCACGTAGGCTTATTCGTAACAGCTCCTCCCTGCCTTTTGCTAATGATAGAAACAAATTTAAAAATGTAAACCTTCAATATAAACATAGTGTATTATTATTTCTCAAATCTACTTTGTGTGAGGAGTTGTTTTCCAATTCTTAGAGCTCACCTGCTTAACATTTCAAGAGCCATACATCTCACTGAATTTTTAATTTCTTATTATGAAGGCATAAAGCCAAACTACTAGTAAAAGGGAAAATTCTCTACATTTATCTCCTTAAGGAAAGTTAATACCAAATTTTATTTTATTTTTTGGGGGGGAGGTAGTATGAAGGGGGGTAGATGATAAAATCCAAATTTTAAATTCTCTAAACAAAACTACCTAAAAGTTAACAGCAGCTTTCTGACAAGATTTAAATGAAGATACCTGATGGTAAAGGAATATAGATTCGTTTCTCAAGACGTCGTCTTAAAGCCTCATCTATATCCCAGGGAAAATTAGTAGCTGCCAGAACCATAACCATTTTGGAAGGGTCATCATTTTCAGAAGCACCTCCAACACCTAAAATCAGGGGGTAAGGAGGCAAAAGGAAAAATATTAAGTTGGATTGTACCAAATAAAGCTCAGTCATTTAAACATCATCAAATATTTAGCACAAGAATACAAGACAGTATAGTCTTTGAGCTGCCTCAAGACTTAGGCAGCTAACTGGTACATATGTGAATTTGTAATCCAAGGAAAATGAGTTTTGTAGTATGCAAAATATGACTCAGATTTAATCAAAACACCAGCTCAGCTCAACTACATACCAATTTAAAATTTTTTTCAAAAGCATACATAACCTCTAAGTCCAATTTATGTGTATTTATTTCTATTTCAATTTCATGGCTAAAAATAAGAGGTCAGTGTATATGTCAAGGGGTGTCCTGTGGGTGTTATTTCTGACATGCCACCAATGTCAGTGTACTGAATTTATTGCTATCAATCTCAGGAACTACTTGCCAGCCCCTCTAGTCCACCTGGAGTTACCAACACCTATTAAAAGCCCTGGGTTAGCACTATGGGCGGAGCTTACCCCACTGGAGCTGGATATACCTAGCACCCTCCCGCCCCAAGTCAGTTTACGCACCATCCATTTG